ATTTGAGTGGCCGAACAGCCACCTGCTCAATTCTGTGGGTGGCAGAATGGTGTTCCCCCTTCTCCTTCTCGCTGCCGCCTTTCCTGGGCATTTCCATCTAATTGAAAAGCCCAGGACCACTGTGACTGGTGGCAACAGCAGCACTAGGCAGAGAGGAACTGATGTTGTTCCTCTATGTGACCCTGGAAACTAGAAGCGATGAAGCTTTCATCACTTCCGATTTTCTGTTTACCTAGCTATTAATGGTCAGGTAAGCAGCTGATCAGACCAATCTGTGTCTAATCAGCTGCATTGGAGACCAGAGGAGAAATTTAGGGTCTAATAGAACCCCAATCACTCCATAAAGAGGATCTGTCAAGGGCCATGCCTTGTTGTTCATCCCTTGTGAAAGCAATAAAGTTGATCAAAAACAAGAAAATGAAAGAAACAAAAAGAAAAAAGTTTCAAAACAAAATAAATAAAAAAATTCCCCTCATGCTTGTGAACACATAAGTAAGTCCCGCAAGGATATGTAAACGGTGATGGCACCACACTTGTGAGGTATCGAAGCGAACATCAGAGCAAGAGCAATCATTTTAGCTCCAGACCTCCAGTGTAACGCTAACCTGGTAAACCTGTAAAGGCTTCTAAAGTGTTGCCTACTGAGATTTTTAGGTACTGTAGTTTGGCACAGGTCTATTGGCGTACGCAATTTAAAGCGTGACATGTTAGGCATCTATTTACTTGGCATGGAGAAGATATAGAGGGAGGGCATAGACCACACAATCTAAGGTTTATATATCACATAAAATAATATTGTACAAAAAGGGGGAGGGGGATTACAAACATATTTCTCTCAAATGCACAGATAGTTACTGCATATCTTGTGATGAAGCACAGGTCCACAGATGGTCCTCACTAGCCAAGTGACAGACCCAACCGTAACAGGGTCTTTTGGAGGTGACTGCAGGCTACCCTCTTGCCTACTGACTATGGGCCGTGGCGTTTGAGGTGGTTCTATTCTTTGGGAAGTGTGTGCCTGGGGGACCTTTTGGAGTAGTTTTACTTTGGATTCAAGTCCATGTCTCCCCAAAACACAAAGACTCTGAGAACTGGAGGACCAGGATACAGATTTTGGGGTATCTGTGCCCAAACCAGCATTTACTGCATCAACCCCCCTCCTAGACTCGAGACTCTAAGCAGATGTTAACCCCTTTGCGCTGGCCGCACACAAATGTGCGGCCGCCCGGCGTCTGGGCCTAGACGCCGAGCGGCCGCACATTTGCGTCCATGTAACTAAATACATATGTGCTGAGAGCGTGCACCCTGCGCGCTCCCAGCACACATGTGTGGTACTCACGGAAAGGTCCCGGTCCGCTCTTTCGATCGGGACCTTTCCCGATCATGTGACCGCTGTGACGCGTCATCACGGCGGTCACATGATTCCTAAAACCACGCCCCAACCGCCCTGCCTCCTGGCGTCTGAATCTCTTAAAGGGCCGGGAGGCGTCGGCGGGAAGGGGTTAATATAATCAGCTCAAAACAACCTGATGCTAAGGTCTCTTGCTGTAATCTGTTTATTAAGGTGTGTTTACTGTTGTCTCTTTGTCCCAGTGTTAATTTAGTTAATTGAGTCACCTATTGTTTCTGTCTGTTGGCTAGTCCTCCTGGAGTTTCCTAAATGATGGGAGTAGTCTTGTATCAAAGACCTCATTACCTAATTAGGGTGGGATGTTTCTCCCAATGTGTAATATTTGTTTTATTGTTCATGTGGAGACTATCCCTATTTAATGAACCTGTATTTCTGTTCAAATAGAGAGTTCTATTTGCACCAAAGGTAGTGTTGTTTAGTCCTTGGGTGCAATGTCCAGCTATAATACCTTGATCCTGTATCCCAGTGGCCAGGAAGCAGTTCTCAAAAGGAAAAACCCAGGTGGGGTGCCAGGTGGTCCGTCACACCAAGCAATAGCAACTATGGCCTCCCTCTATATCATATATCTCTATATCAAAAGAGCTTTAGCCCTACTTTTTCTTTAAAGCGGAGTTCCACCTGAAAAAAAAAAAACTTTAGCTGCTGACTTTTAAATTACAGACACTTACCTGTCCCCCGGTCCAGTGGTGTCCTCACCATGGCTAGTTTCACCGGCCGTCTTCTCTCCCTTGTGCTGGCATCTTCAGTGTCGGCACCCGGCTGTGACAGCTTGCAGCTTCACAGCCGGGTGCCCACTGCGCATGCGTGAGAAGTACTGCGCTATGTGAATGGCTCCGTAGTCTTCTGGGACCCGTCCCGAGTCCCAGAAGACTACAGGGAAGGGAGGAGGGACAACTTCCGCTTCGCTCGCTCGCCTAGGCGATCACAGCGGAAGTGGGGGCAGGTACTTGTCAAATTCGGGTACCTGCTCCCCAAAGGTGCCAATCCTTAATGGAGAGCAGGGCGACAAAGGTTTAAAGTGGAACTTCCCCTTTTGGGTGGAGCTCCAATTTAAGGCTGGAGTTCAGCTTTAAAGTGGGTCCACCTCTACTGTTTGTCCTATTAATGATCGGCACTAAGAGCAGTGATAGGAAATCATACATTTTATAGCTTAATTGAAACGGGGAAAATTTCCCAATGGGGAAAATGGTTCCTTGTTAAAATGTGCCCTCATTTTTGGGGAGATTTCCACTCACTTAAGCCGGCCATAGACAGTTCGAATCTTGGCTGGTACAGGGCAGTCTGAATGTACCCAAGTGGTGGATCAATCAACTTGGCTACAACCAGCCTGCCGGATTTTACATGCGATTATCGATAGCAGCTTCTTTAGCAACTAGCAATACTCACTGTGTTCTCCTGGAGGGGACGGCTCTCACCCCACCGGGAGAACACAATGGTTGGGCAGGAGGGATTCCCCTGTCAACACTATCTGGAACCCATGGTTGGAGGAAAGAATATTGCACCATCTATAGCCTGCCTTACTGTTGTGCCTGTGGCTCAGGGGCACAGTCATCAAAACACTTCCACGCCTTATCCAAGACTCAGAAAAAACGTTTGGCTTGAGTTCCACATTAAATTTAACAGAAAATCAAAATTTTAGGAAACAGAAAAATAAGAACCAACGGGACCAAAGCTGCAGTTTTTAATCAGGAAAGAAAACACAAGGGGATAAAACCATATTTCTGTCATTCAAGTGGACTAATAGACATACAAAAGAAACAATACAGTGTTGGTGTACTGCTTCAGGCAAATTAAGATAACTAATGGAAGTAAAGATACCAGCGTGCAGCTCTTCCATATCTTGACACAGGATCCTTTGATGCCAAGTGGAAACTGAGATACACTATACAACCAAAGATACATGCCTGACCATCACACCAACTATATGGCCTAAACTATGTGATCATCCCTCTAAATGATTGAGTTCAGGTTTTTCCTGTGAAGGGTACAGTTATTGCTACTGTGGGACAGGGACATATTAGACAACTGTGTGGCAACAGTTTGGTGAAGGCTCTTTTCTATTTCATCATGACTCTGCCCCTTTGCACAAAGCTAGTTCCATAAAGACATTGTTTGGTGGGTTTGATGTGGAGAAACTTGTGTGGCCTGCACAGAGCCCTGACCCCAGCCCTGGGATGGATTGGAACACAGATTGTGAGCCAAGTCATCTCTTGAGCAGCTTTGGGATGGACCGGAACATGGATTGTGAGCCAGGTCATCTCTTCTGCGGCTTTGGGATGGACTGGAACACCAATTGTGAGGCAGGTCATCACTTGAGCAGCTTTGGGATGGACTGGAACACCGAATGTGAGCCAGGTCATCTCTTGAGCAGCTTTGGGATGGACTGGAACAGCGATTGTGAGCCAGGTCATCGCTTGAGCAGCTTTGGGATAGACTGAAACCGATTGTGAGCTAGGGGTCATCTTTTGAGCAGCTTTGGGATGGACTGGAACACTTATTGTGAGCCAGGTCATCACTTAAACAGCTTTGGGATGGACTGGAACACTGATTGTGAGCCAAGTCATCTCTTGAGCTGCTTTTGGATGGACTGGGACACCGACTGTGAGCGAGGTCATCTCTTGAGCTGCTTTGGGATGGACTGAAACACTGAATGTGAGCCAGGTCATCTCTTGAGCAGCTTCTGGATGGACTGAAACACCGAATGTGAGCCAAGTCATCTCTGGAGCAGCTTTGTGATAGACTGGAACACTTATTGTGAGCCAGGTCATCACTTAAACTGTTTTGAGATGGGCTGGAACACAGATTGTGAGCCAGGTCATCTCTTGAGCTGCTTTGGGATGGACTGGGACACCGACTGTGAGCGAGGTCACCACTTCAGCAGCTTTGGGATGGACTGGAACACCAATTGTTAGCCAGGTCATCTCTTTCACAGGTACACTTCAGAATCTTGTGGAAAGCCGTACCAGAAAAGTGGAGGCTGTTAAAGCTACAAGGGGAAAAGGGAGAGGATGCAACTACATATCAATGCCCATGGTTTTGGAATGAGATGTCCATCAAGCTCATATACAGCAGGTATAATGTCAGGTGTCCACAGTCATTTTCTCTGAAGACAGTTCAATGCTACAGTGAACCTACCAATGTCTAACCAGATAAGTTTACTGATACAAACCTCCTTGGCAATCAGAAACAAGTGAGTTCTTTTCAGTCAATAGTTTCCCACATTCCAAATGTGATTATGGCTTCACCCCCATGTGAGTTCTCTGATGTTCGATAAGTTTGGCCTTCCGACTAAAACATCTTCCACATTCAGAGCATGAAAAGGGCTTCTCACCAGTATGTGTCTTCTGATGGTCGGTAAGGTAGGTTCTCCGGGTAAAACACTTTCCACAGTCCGAACATGAATACGGTTTTCTCTCCCCAGTATGAATTCTCTGATGCGTAATAAGAGTTCCCAGCTGAGAAAAACATTTCCCGCACTCTGAACACGGATATCGCTTCTCTCCTGTGTGAATTCGTTGATGGGTGGCAAGTGACGACCTCTGATTGAAACATTTCCCACATTCCGAACAGGAATATGGCTTCTCCCCAGTGTGCGTCCTCTGGTGTATAATAAGATGGGCTTTCTGGGTAAAACATCTACCACACTCAGTGCAGGGGTACGGCTTCTCGGCTGTGTGAATCCGCTGATGGGTGGCAAGAGCTGACTTCTGATTGAAACATTTTCCACATACAGAACAAGAATAGGGCCTCTCCCCAGTGTGAGTTCTTTCATGGTCAATAAAATATGCTTTCCTGGAAAAACATTTTCCACATACTGAACAAAGAAAGGGTCCCTCCAGGGTGTGATTTCTCTGGTGAGAGATGAGTATTGCCCTTTGGGTAAAAAAATCTCCCGCAGACAAAACACGGGAACATTTCACTACCTCTGTGATCCATATGCGGTGTGATGGGATAAGAGTGACCAGGAAGACTGGTCCTGAGTTTTGAGGGATCAGAACTGGGAAGGACTGGATGGAGATTGTGACTAATGGGGTGTTCTCCTGAAGGATCTCTGATGTAATTTTCTATTTCTGGAGAGACAGTTGGATGTTTCTCTGGCTTATTCACCTTGTGTTGTCCATCTGCAGAAAGTAAGTCGCGGGTGAAGAATAGGAACAGTGTTAAGGTCACATGACACCACTCTCGTCTCTGTCCACTCTCGTCTCTGTTATTAAAATTAATAAAACACTGTCTGAAGACTTCAATAAGGCATTTATGATGTACTAGGGTCCCAACCACGGCACCACCTGCCTGGAGTTTGCATGTTCTCCTGTGCCTGTGAGAGGTTTCCGCCAGGTACTCCGGTTTCCTCCCACACTACAAAGACATGCAGTAGATGAACTGGCTCCTGTATAAATTGGACCTAGTATGTGTATGTATGAATGTGACTTAGGGACAGTGGCGTCCCTAGGGGGGTGCGGGCCACACCATCACAAGGGGGGTGCAGGAGCAGGATGCCAAAACAGTGACAGCTGCCCCACCCAGGTGTAGTGGTAAAATGAGTATCCTCTGAAGCAACTGCGCATGTCCTGGTTTCAGGCCGAAGAAGCCGATCGCCGGCTCTGTGCTAAAGTCGGAGATCGGCTTCTTCGGCTTGAAACCAGTACATGCGCGCAGTAGCTTCAGGGGATACATGTCTTCAACGGATACTCATTTTACTGCTACACCGGCACTGCTCCTTCCTGTCTGGAGGGGTGACACCACGTGTTACCGCACCAGGTGACACCAACCCTGGGGACGCTTCTGCTTAGGGACCTTAGATTGTATGCTCCTTGAAGGCAGGGACTGATGTGAATGTACAATATATGTAAATGCTGCATAAATGGACAGTGCTAGGTAAGTACCTGTAATAAATACCTAAATAAAATGCCAATTTTCTTAAAACCGCCTACACCTAATCCAATCAAGCATTTGTGCCAATTTCGGTAATATCACTGACACCTGCGACAAATTTAAATAGTTCTTACCACTGACACCTACAAAAACCTGTTGCTATGGCTGCCAGTTCACGGATTAGGGAATTTGGGGTAATAAAGACCATCTCTGAATTGGTGTACATTGGGATGTCAGAGATCAGGGTTGGGCATGTCTGTGTTGGGAAGGTGTCACGAATGTGGCAGCAACCCACACAAGGCTCTATTGCCAGCCCCATTCAGCTGTCAACTAGGTGATTCCTTGGCTGATAGCTGAATGTATACAAATGGGCCGGGAATGCTTGTGATGTCATTTCGCAGATTGGGCAATGATCATATATGGGTAATGATGAGCCACGGGAGAGGCACACCTGATAAGTCTCCTGTTGGGTGGGCGGAGTCTGATGGAAAATGAATGGCAGTGGGTGGATTTCATATCTGCAGCTATTGAATCTGCCAGCTGTTGAGCACTGTCAAAGGCAAGGCAGACCTAATGGGAATCTGGTCTCTTGGTTCCCCAACATGGGTGGGTGGAGTCTGAAGGAGAATGATTGGCAGTGGGTGGATTTTATATCTGCAGCTATTGAATCTGCCAGCTGCCATGCACTGTCAATCAAAGGCAAGGCAGACCTAATGGGAATCTGGTCTCTTGGTTCCCCAACATGGGTGGGCGGAGTCTAATGGAGAATGAATGGCAGCGGGTGGATTTCATATCTGCAGCTATTGAATCTGCCAACTGCCATGCACTGTCAATCAAAGGTAAGGCAGACCTAATGGGAATCTGGTCTCTTGGTTCCCCAACATGGGTGGGTGGAGTCTGATGGAGAATGAATGGTAGCAGGTGGATTTCATATCTGCAGCTATTGAATTTGCCAGCTGCCATGCACTGTCAATCAAAGGCAAAGCAGACCTAATGGGAATCTGGTCTCTTGGTTCTCCAACATGGGTGGGTGGAGTCTGATGGAGAATGAATGGTAGCGGGTGGATTTCATATCTGCAGTTACTGAATCTGCCAGCTGCCATGCGCTGTCAATCAAAGGCAAGGCAGACCTAATGGGAATCTGGTCTCTTGGTTCCCCAACATGGGTGGGTGGAGTCTGATGGAGAATGAATGGTAGCGGGTTGATTTCATATCTGCAGTTATTGAATCTGCCAGCTGCCATGCACTGTCAATCAAAGGCGAGGCAGACCTAATGGGAATCTGGTCTCTTGGTTCCCCAACATGAGTGGGTGGAGTCTGATGGAGAATGAATGGTAGCAGGTGGATTTCATATCTGCAGTTACTGAATCTGCCAGCTGCCATGCGCTGTCAATCAAAGGCAAGGCAGACCTAATGGGAATCTGGTCTCTTGGTTCCCCAACACGGGTGGGTGGAGTCTGATGGAGAATGAATGGTAGCGGGTGGATTTCATATCTGCAGTTATTGAATCTGCCAGCTGCCATGCACTGTCAATCAAAGGCGAGGCAGACCTAATGGGAATCTGGTCTCTTGGTTCCCCAACATGAGTGGGTGGAGTCTGATGGAGAATGAATGGTAGCAGGTGGATTTCATATCTGCAGCTATTGAATTTGCCAGCTGCCATGCACTGTCAATCAAAGGCAAGGCAGACCTAATGCCATATGCCTGCCTGTGCGAAGGGTGTAGTGGTCAGGGAGGGAGCACACCGAGGAATGAATGTCCAGTATGGACCCTCCAACCTGAGTGCTGGCCTCTAACAGATTCATGTACCCGTTTCTGATAGGAACACAAATCTGACGAAAGAACCTCCAATTTCCATGCGGACATAATCTAAAGGGTGTTTACAACACACTTCATGAATTCCTCCACCCGTATGTTTAGTACATGGAGTAACACTCTTCCAAAAATGGACTCCATATGGTACAATGGACCATAATGTTTGGTCTAAACATGCTTGCCAACAAAAAGTAGGTTCTTCAGGTAAATACAGCAGCTCTGAATTAGTCAAAAATACTGATTAGCTGTTTTGGTTGGGTTCCTCTGGTTTTGATGCTATACTATGACTCTGTATGATGTATTGTATGTCTATGTGTCATAACAATTTTTCACAAATAAAAATTTGTACTCTTAATATTTCTGGTACTATTTAAGCCTTTAAAGTTCCAAGTCCTAGGGGGTCCTTCCTTCTTCATCTAATTGTTATTTTGGGGATGGCGGCTTACAATCAGGAATTTTCCCCCTTTTCCAAGGCAGAGAATATGTTCATTTATTTCTGTATTTAGTGATTGTAACTCACCCATGCCAATCTCCAAAGGGATTTCCTCATCTTCAATCTTGATTTGTCTTACATCCTCCTCCTCTTCTTCCTCCTCCTCCTCAGCCTTGATGTTCCACTGAAAAGCTCTGGTGTCTCCAGGGTCTGGAAATAAAGCTGAGAGTGAAGCCCCCTGTGCTGAAATGTATGAGAGACCCCCAGAGAGTGTGTGTGGGGGGAGACTGGTCACATCTCAATGACATGATGTGAGGAGGAGAGCCGGAGTCTAATAGAGGCTGATGGCTCCTGACCCCCCCCCCCCCACTGGGCACATACTGTCCCCCCATTACTGTCTACTGACAGAGGAGGGGGGAGAAGAAGAGATTGTTGTAGTGACTGAACAAGGAGGATCTGGGACTCTTCTCTGGATTTAGTGTTTATTACTCACCTGTGCTGATCTCTGGAGGGAGTTCCCCTTCCTTATATGGCTCATCCCCCATCACATACAGCTCTTCTGCTTCTTCTTTAGCTTCTGCTCTACAATCAGTCTGGTTTACATACAACTCCACCTAAAAAAGAAGAATTTCTTTAATAATTGTCCTATTATTCCGAACATAAGAGCTGTGTGGCTTATAGGAATGCCTTGATCACAAATTAATTTATCACGCCTTAAAGAGCAACTTCCTCACTCAGCTTTATATTTTACATCATGCATACCTTACTCCGCTACAGGTCTCCTGATACCGTCCCGGTCAGAGCTCCCTATGCCCATGCTGTCAACATACACCTGGCACCTTCTTTCACCTTATATAGTCCTGCCCAATTGTCCAAACCTTCATCAAATTCCTACATGACCATATGGGTTCACCCCTGCATTTGAGCCCTAGGGTGTGCCTTCTGGGCTCTTTTCCGGATATACCTGAGGATAAATGTCTTGTTATTCTACTCCATGAAACTCCTTTTAGTGCATGCAAACTCCTGAAACGCCACTGGATGCAGACAACCATTCCCATCCTACAGATGTAGCTGGTGAAGGTCAATTCCATCCTGCTGTATAAGAAACTTATTTATATGCATAGGGGATGCCCAATGATGTATAATAAAGTATAGGATAGATGGCTTAGTTCCTCCGACACTTGGTTAGACGAGATGGTAACTATCGTAAGGGTGAACTACCGGTATCCCTTCTTAAATCCTGCGTTCTGGTCACATTTCCCCGGTGATTTTGGTACCTTACCCATTACTTCTGCCTCTTGGCAACTTGTTATTGTGACACATTTGTATTATCCGTCATGCCTTTGTACCACTGTCCTAGCGACTCATGTGTGCTGAGATAATGTTCTGATATGCCAGTTTTTTTTTTTCAGTGTACCATGTGATCTGTGTTAATGTTAGCATGCCCTAAGCTGGGGGCAATGCTAATATTAACCAATGCGCATTATGATTGCGCTTCTGGTGAGTTTGCAATCTCACTAGTCTATTGCACACCACCGGATGATTATCACCTTCCACTTTATGGCTGATTCCTGATTTTCAGAATATATGTGCACAGCCTGCTGGAGCTTCACTTTTGAATAGAACTTTCACGTCATAGAATTTATACATTGGGACTCACCTATGTGCTCACATGTGATATTTTACTGTTCTTCTTGAGTGATGACTGTTTTTATTTTGATTGAGAGACAT